AATGCATTCAGTCCAACTTCAAAAGTACCCATAGTCTATCACAGTCTAAACAGTGTTTAAAAATTCACAGTTCAAGGTCTTTGGTACTCATGGCAATCTCTTACTTGTAACTCTCTGTAAAATCAAAATGAAAAAAGCAAATTATATACTTCCAACATACAATGGCACAGGATATACATTACCATTCCAAAAAGGAGGAAAGCGAGCATAGTGAGGAAATTCTAAACCAAAGCAAGACCCAAAAACAGCTAGGAAAACTCCAAACTTTGCATCTCCATGTCTGATGTCAAAGTACTCTTCAGATCTCCAACTCCTTTCAGCTTTGTTGACTGCAAAACACTTCTTTCTAGTGGACTGGTTCCACTCCCTGTTAGCAGCTTTCCTCAGCAGATATCCTATGGCTCTGGCATCTCCAACATCTTGGGGGCTCCAAGGCAATCCAGGCTTCACTGTCACAGCTGCACAAAGTGGCCTCTCTAGGCCTACATGCAAGGACAGCCCTCACATATGCCTGGCCTCAGCAGCTTTCCTTAGTCACAGAGGAAGATCCCATAGCCCCTTCCTGTATCCTTGACTCTAAAGCCAGAACCATGTGACTGAAGCTGTCAAGTTCTGCTGCTTGGTGGGGCTGAAACACGACCCCCTCGTTCAAATATATTTTCATTGTATATCTACATAAGATAATAGCCACACAACACAGTCAATGCTAGGTTGTTTGGAAATGTTCTCTGCCAAAGCTGTTAATACATAACATTTCAATTTAGCCTCAGGTAGCTGTTTTTAGACAAGGGCAGAAAGCAGTCACATTCTTCACCAAAATATCACAAGAACTATCTCTAAGCCACATATTAAAATTCTTCTCCTCTGAAATCTCTTGAGATAGGTTCAGATCACCCTCAGCACCACTGTCTTCCATGTTCCTATGGGTATGGCCTATTATGCCACACTTAAAGCATTCCACTGCTTTCCTAACCCAAAGTCCCAAAGTCCACATTCCTCCAAACAAACACATGGTCTGGCATATCACAGCAATACCCAAGTCCCTCATACCAACTTCTGTCTTAGTTAGGGTTTTTATTGCTGTGAAGAGACAGCATGACCATGGCAACTCTTATAAAGGAAAGCATTTCATTGTGGCTGGCTTACAGTTCACAGATTGAGTCCATTATCACCATGGTGGGACATGGCAGCATGCAGGCAGACATGGTGCTGGAAAGGTAACTGAGAGTTCTACATCTGGATCTGCAGGCAGCAGGAAGAAAGAGTGAGCCACTAGGCCTGGCTGGAGCTTCTGAAATCTCAAAGCCTACCCCACAGTGACACACTTCCTCTAACAAAGGCACACCTACCCCAGTAAGGCCACATCTCCTAATAATGCCACTCTCTATGGGCCTATGGGGGCCATTTTCATTCAAACCACCACACATGGTAAATGCCTTAATAAATGTCAGCCTCCATGGGCAAAGTGCCCACTTCCTCTTTTCCTATTGAGGTCCTGTCTGTGGCCACACTGTTGGGCTCTAGTATGGCAAAGGTAGCTGAGATGTTCTTAGAAGCCATGGCCCATAGTGTTTTTTGCCCACATCTAAGGCATAATTTCTCAGTGTTTCCAAAACTCTTAGTGACTTTTCCTGCTGCTGAGATAAAACACCCTGACAGAAGCAACTTAAGGCAGGGTCTATTCAGTTCACAGCTCCAGGGTACAGCCCGTCATGGTGGGCAAGCACTGGTAGCAGGAGCTTGAGACAGCTATGTAGTCAGGAAGCAGAGAACAATGACATCTGTCTGTCTGTCTGTCTCTCTGTATCTATCTATCATCTGTCTATCTCTATCAATCATGTATCAAATACCAAGTTGCACACCCCCTAGGAGTTCCCTGACCACTGCACTCTCCCTCACCCTGGGGACTCTGTGACCCCCAATGTCTCAAAGTTGTAACAGGCTTTCTTGGACTGCCAGCCCCCAAATCATGACACAGAGATGTATTATTAGTTATGAATGCTCGGCCTTATCTTGTGCTTGTCCCACAAGCTCTTATAACTTAATTCAACCTGTTTCTCTTCATCTACGTTTTGCCTGAGGGCTTTTTTACCTTTCTTTCATTCTGTATGTCCTACTTTGTGTCTGGCTGGTTGGTGAGCTCCAGGCTCGGAGCAAGATCCTGTCTCAAAAAGCAAAGTGGACAGCTCCTGAGGAAGGATGTCCAGCCTCTATGTGCATCTGCACCCAGGCTCTTGTATGTAAACCCACACACACACACACACACACACACACACACACTTTTTTGGCACCAGATGTGGTGGCATACAACTGTAGCCCCAGCACTTAGGAAGCTGAGGCAGAAGGATCACTAATTCAATATCAGCCTGGGTTGCACAGCGAGACCTTGTCTCAAAGTACCAGATAACACACACAAACACACAGAACAAAAAAAACTTTCTTTGACAATTTTTAGGGGGGAGTGTAAAGAGGTTCTGTGACTCAAGTGTTTGAGAACGGCTCAGGGCAGATGTATATCTGTTTTCACATATTTTCCTATTGAATGTATCTTATATGACAATTCTTTAAGTCATAGAAACCAGAGCGGCGGTGTTTTCCTGTTTTCACGGTAGCTAAGTTGTCTGATGATCCGACTGTGGTTTGGGGTTTTTTTTTTTTTTTTTTTTTTTTTTTTTGGTTTTTCGAGACAGGGTTTCTCTGTGTAGCTTTGCGCCTTTCCTGGAACTCGCTTTGTAGACCAGGCTGGCCTCGAACTCACAGAGATCCGCCTGGCTCTGCCTCCCGAGTGCTGGGATTAAAGGCGTGCGCCACCACCGCCCGGCGGTTTGGGGTTTTAACGTGTCTTCTAAACAGCCGTGTTGGACTTCCACTGACTGGAGCCACTGACCAGCCAGCCCTGCTGCAAACCTGGACTTCTGCCACCCTCGGCCTTTGTTGTGTTTACATTTTAAACTACGCCCTCTCCCTTCTCCCCACTTGCTCTCTCACCTCCTTCTCTTCTCTCCCTTTCCCTTTATCTTTTTTTCTTTTCCTTCTTGTTTTTCTGGTTTTTTCAAAAGCCTCGCCTTCCTTTTGTGTCAGCATAATGATGCGTTTAAGCAACTCTTTCTTGTTCTTTCTATAATTTCACTTTTAAAATATTTTTTAAATATATTATCTTATTTTCTACTCCAACTCAATGATTTCACTGTTAATCATATAAGGCTAAGAAATCGGCCTTATTTTCTCCTGTAGGGAAGAAAAAGGAGGCCTGTCCGTCATGAGTCTTGGTAGCATAAGGCTTCTTTTCCTGAAGGCGCTCAGATGCCTGGCAGTCCTGACAGCTGAACACCGCTCCCACTTACATTTCAGCCTTTCTATTTTTGTCTGCTGCGCCCTTGGCTCCAGCTCTCTGCTGTTCTCAAACCATTATTGTCTTCTGGAAGCAACCCTCACAGCTGTGGCTTTTGTTGACAAATTGTTTCATCTCCTCTGGGCCTTAAATTATTTTCTCTGAAGTGAAAAGTCACTAGATATTTCCAGACACTGCTTTAGGGTCATAATTTGATTTCTCCAAACTCTGAGTGGTTCCAGTCTCTCCCACCCTCGACCCCCACCTCTCCTACACTCTAGACCTATTGTAACTTTCGGAGTTCAGGACTTGCTCGGTACTGGGGTGACTTTCATAATTTGGATGACTGGTTTTATGTTGAAAAACTTAACAATGACAAGTCTTAAATTCTTTAATAAAATCTTGCAACAGATATACAAAGGTGGTTATTTCTGTCTCATCATGACAATCCATTCTTATTTGCTCGGGTGTCTCCCCTCTTGGTCCTTCTTTTGGATCATTTTTACCTGGGACCTGGATGTTCTATGCTAGTTTTGCTTCAAGCACACTGGGTCCCTCAGGACCTTATGGTAACAGTCCTGAAATCCCAGCTGTTTAGGCAGCTGAGGCAGGAGGATCACAAGTCTGAGGCTACAGAGCAAGTTCAAGGCGAACCTGGGCAACTTACTGAAACCCAGTCTCAGAGTAGAGGTTAAAAAGAAGGCTGGGGGCCAGGCGGTGGTGGCGCAGGCCTTTAAACCCAGCACTCGGGTAGTCTAGATCTTCTGGTCTGGCCTCTTTTTCCCAGCATCCTCTGGTGGTCCCTGTTCCTCCAGAGCATTTACATAACCCAGTTTAACAACCTGCTGCCTTTCTCCCTGATTTGGCACCCACTGTCCCTTCTTTATTCTCTGTTAAAGTAATAAGGGTATGTTCCATTGCACTTGCCTGAGAGTCTTGAACTGAGCCTGGGTTTCCCGCCATCTGGGTCTGGCTGGGTTGCAGCTTCTCTTTGATGTTGTAAGGCTTTTTCATTGAACTTGAGTGTGGCACTTACATGGCTTGTTTGCTTTATTTTTTTTTTCTCCTAAGACAAGCACATTTTTTTCTTGAGCTTATTTTGCTGCTTTGTGCTGTTATTTTTAATTGCTTCCGTCGAGGGGTGGGGCTGAGGGTGAGATTTGGCTTGAGTTTGCCTCTGTTTGGTATTACTCACATTCCCCCCTCCAAAGTCCCACATTCTTAGGAGCTCTTAGGTGCATGCTCGCGCTCTCTCTCTCTCTTGCTCTCTCTCCTCTCTTCTCTCTCCTCTCTCTCTTCCCCTCTCTCCCTTCTCCAATCCCCCTTCTCTCTGACAAACCACTCTTGCAAGGCCACTGATGCCATGTGCAGAAGACGTCAGTAGGAGATGCTCAGGAACTCAGCCCTGCGCAGTCATGAGCCTGGCCATCTGGAAGTCGCCTCTTACTCAATGAAATGGAGTAAACATTGTCCATTATGAAATCCACCACACAGGCTGCCAAGGACGAATGGGATCCCACCCAAAGCCAATTGCTGCTCTGACAGGGAAATTGGCTAGTGCTGCCTGAGACTACTCCAGCCTCCCCCGTCCCTGATGTCACAGTTCAGAGGCTGCTGCCTGCCTGGGAAGTTGTAGAAAGCTCTGCAGGTTTTCTCTGTGTGTCTACAGGGCCCCCTGAGCCAGGTCCCTGTCTGATGGCGCTTATGAAAAAATACCTCCTCCCCATTCTGGTGCTCTTCTTGGGCTACTACTATTCTACAAAAGAAGAGTTCAGACCAGGTGAGTACAAATGTGTCTCTTTTGGAGGAACAGGCTTAAAACACAGGGGTTCTGGAATGTTCCTAAAGACCTAGCTATGTTCTTGGTCCCTACGTCACTGAGAAAAAGGGAACCCTACTGTGGATCTGTAAGTCTGTATCCTCCAGCTACAAGTATTGGGAAGGAAGGGGCAGAGAGGGGCAAGCCACATAGCCAAGTAGGCCAGGCTTCACTTGGCACCCAGGCTGGAAAGCAGTTTCAGATCCACAGAAGTGAAGGAATACCCAGATCTGCAGCTCAACCAGATAGCTCCATGGAGATACTGTGCTCCATGGAGATACTGATAGCTGAGAGGCCAAAATAAATAAATAAATAAATAAATAAATAAATAAATAAATAAGGCTATGAAGTTGATGACTAAGTAGAACAGTTGAAATCTCTCTGAACACATTTTGTGATGCTTTTTAAAATTCCCTTTCAATATAGCAAAATGAGATCATGTCAAAAGTGTCGAACTCTAGCAGTTTAGCCAAACTCTGATCTTTCTGGCCTTATCTCTACATTCTCGCACATGGAGGTTTTTAAGAATAATGGCAGGAAGGCTCGGCTTTGGATATCCAGGCAAAGCCATCTTAAGAGCCGGTCTATGAACAACCCCGAGTGTTGCTTCAGTGATTTACAACGTGAGGCAAACTGATCTGGACAGTGAAACAAGGCTTTGGGGTACTCACAGCCTTTGTGGTTCCCAGAAATGCTCCAAGGGAAGAAAGTGATTGTCACGGGGGCCAGCAAAGGGATCGGGAGAGAAATGGCATATCATCTGTCAACGATGGGAGCCCATGTGGTATTGACTGCGAGGTCTGAGGAAGGTCTCCAGAAGGTGAGCATTCTGTCCCACAAATAAGTGTGCCTTCCTCTGCCCAGCTTATGGCCTCACACATATACACAAAGGCTTGCCCCCCTCCCCTATGGCCTACATGCCCATATACAGGTACAAATATTCCCAGGAGTATAAAACTGCTGCTTTTAAGCATGCATACACACACACACACACACACACACACACACACACACACACACACACACTCACATGTGCACTGTTAGCCACAGAGATCTTTGGTTGTATATGTTCATAGTCATACCTGTTCACACACACGGACCTGTACAGATGCATATATCCGGGAACTGGAATTCCCGTACCTGCTCATGCATTTATGTTGTCATGCTCCATAGACTCACAAACTTGAAAGTTCTAGGTCATACCAACACTCACAAACCCTAATCTATCCCCACAGAAACCTGCAACCACGCCCATAATGCATTTTGAAACATTTGTTCATAAACTCTGCAGAGATGAATCATGGACTTAAACTCTAACACAACAATGATTTATCCATTTAAGATATGTCAGAGAACAATGATCATCTAAGAATATTTAAGCACCCCTCCAAATGCATGCATGTGCACACACACACACAATTTCTTCTAAGCAGCTCTCTGAACAAACTCTCATGTAAGCCCCAGTTACTCCAAAACTACACATGAAAGCCCACAGCCAAGATGGCCACCATTTCTGCTGTGTCTCTCTAGGTGGTGTCTCGCTGCCTTGAACTTGGAGCAGCCTCTGCTCACTACATTGCTGGCACCATGGAAGACATGACGTTTGCAGAGCAATTTGTTCTCAAAGCAGGAAAGCTCATGGGTAAGGCTCCCCTCCCTTTTCCTCCTCTGGTCTTAGAGAGTTCAGGAGCAGGGAGGGAACAGGATTGCCTCCAAGTGGTCTCTCTCAACCCAGCCATCTCTTTGCAGGTGGACTGGACATGCTCATTCTCAACCACATCACTTATGCCCCTATGACTTTCTACCACAATGATATCCACTCTTTGCGAAAAATCATGGAGGTCAACTTCATCAGCTACGTGGTCCTGAGCGTCGCTGCCTTGCCCATGCTGAAGCAGAGCAATGGCAGCATTGTCGTCATCTCCTCCACAGCCGGTGAGTGGGCCAGTGGCCAGGGTGGAAGTCCAGAACAAAGTAATGCTGGGGTTATGCTAGGCTCTGTGGTGGGCACACGTTGGTGTCCATTTCCATGCGGGGAAGTAACACTGCATGAACTTGAAAGCTCACAGTAATATTATACACAGACAGGTTCACTCATGAGGGGCTTGGGGTATCAACTTAGGGACATGTATGTTGAAGAAAAGATACACTGAGGAACTAGTGGCCCCCAAAGTAAGGATTGGTCAAAGTAGGACTACAAAATCGCAGAAAGGAACAGACAAACGCAACAGTCCGGGATGCCCATGGGAAACCTGATGTGTGAGCCACACCTGGGAGACGAAAGGGACAGGAAGAGCTGCACCGCTAGTCTAGTCTCTTCATAAAAGAAACCTGGTCCTATTGGATAGAAAAGACTTTGCTTCCATCATAACCTAAAGCCACAGGGTGGTGAGGTCAGTGGGTACAAAAACAGGAGTAAGAATAGAACACCTTAAGGACACACAGTAAGATGGTTAGCTAGGAAAAATGAACTGAAGAATAACAGAGGAAGACTGCTCCAGACCAGTGGTTCTCAACCTTCCTAAGGCTGTGACCCTTTAATACAGTTCCTCATGTTGTGGTGACCCCAACCATAAAATTATTTCTTTGCTACATCATAACTGTAATTTTGCTACTGTTATGAATAGCAATGTAAATATCTGATATGCAGGATGTCTGATATGTGACCCCATGCTCCCAAAGTTGTGGTGACCCACAGGTTGAGAACTGCCGCTCTAGGGTTGGCACAGCACTTAGATTTCTGTCAATCCCCTGGTGTCAATACCCAGTACTGTGGGGAGGGGCAGGGATATCAATGTATACTGAGGATGTTCTTCTAACCTCAATTTGTAGCATTAAAAATGAAATTTAGGCTGGATGTGGTGACACACACCTTTAATCCTACCACTTGTGAGGCAGAGATAGGTGGGTCTCTGTAAACTCAAGGACAGCCTGGGTCTACAAAACAAATTCCAGACCACTCTAGTCTATATAGTAAGAAAGATCCTGTCTCAAAAAAAAAAGTGATATTTAAACAGGTAGGAAATATATGCAAAGAAACAATCTCATAGATATAGCTCTATGGCATGGAGGGGGTCCCCAATGTTTTGCATGGTGGCAGCATCCAACAACATCACTGAGAGTCTCCAGAGGTGAGGATTCCTCCTGGATTTAGGGCAGAAGTCCTACACATGTTTGCTGATTAGTAAAAGATGTGGTTGAAAGATCAGAACAGAGATATAAACCAGCCTTATAAGTGTAGTTCTTAGAATAGAAGCCGGGTAGTAGTACTGCAGGCCTTTAATCCCAGCACTCAGGAGGCAGAGCCAGGTGGATCTCAGTGAGTTCGAGGCCAGTCTGGTCTACAGAGCGAGATCCAGGAAAGGCACCAAAACTACACAGAGAAACCCTGTCTCAAAATAAAACAAAACAAAACAAAAAAACAAGTGACCTAGGAGACCATGGACTATTAAATACTTCAGAGATGCCAGTTCTCCTTGGGATGAATAAGGCCATCGATGTAGTAAAGCACTCTCCTTTCTGGTCCAGGAAAGGCCTGCATGGTGACTGGATAAAGGGACAGTGTGTCTGTGCCACCCTGGAGCACGGTGATTGATATGCACCCCTGTGCTTCCAGCCAGCACAGACTCTGGCCCCTCCTCGCCCACAGACATGCTGGGCTGAAAGCAAAGGAGAGTTTCCAGATGCATACTGAGTGGGAGGGTGCTGGGCACATACCCAGTGAATCCTCTGCACTGGCCAGCCCCCCACACACACACACACTGGTCATGGTGTGGGTGGCTCCAACGATTCCTGATTCTGTTGATGAATGGAAACATGCAGTCCAAGCAAAAGCTGTTTCACCTTTGCCTAGAGAATTTAACTTATATAATGTATATAATCCAGATGTGCTTGGAAGGAGCAAGGATTACTACAGACCCTTAGGGAATTCTGATAACTTATGTTTCTGTACATCATGGGCATCTACAGAATGACACTTAGTAATTTCCTTGGGGTATGGGAGGTAGAAATAGAGTTGTGTAGCTCTTCCTGCATCTGTCATTTGTGTAGCCTAGAGTTCAGCCTTCTTGCTTTGAAACATATCTCTGAATTTACAAATTAATTTTTCATCCTAAGAAGAGTATTATATTCCGTGGTGTATTGTTTTATATATGTTTCCATTTTATGCATGTGTGTAGTGTTTATGTACATGAACAAGTGTATGGATGCCAGAGGCTGACACGAGGCACCTTCTCTAATCTCTCTGCACCTTCTTTTTGGAGGTGGGGTCTCTCACCAGAACCTGGAGCTCACTGACAGGCTGGCTGGCCAGCAAGCCTTCTCCTCCACAGTATCAGGGTTACAAATGTATGCCCAGCTTTTTTTTCCCTTTAATGTAGTGCTGGGGGCCTGCACTCGGGGTCTCATGCTTGAGTGACAAGCATGAGAACTGATGGAACTGTCTCCCCAACCCTGGTGTCTTCTTTAAAGCAATCAGGAAGTATGTTCAGTAATCTTTACTTTAAAAAATCTGAATCTCACAAACATCTCACTAAACATCAAACTGATCTTGAGGTCAGAAAAAATACACTGAGTCAGAACTGTTCTCACTTCCACTGCCTTTGACGGTTCGCTGAGTTACAATGCAAAGCAATTGTCTTTTTCCTGATGCATTTCTGGTTATCATACTTCACGGAGGGCTTGTATTCTTTCTTCAAGCTTGGCTACCTCCTTAGTCCTCTGAGATGGTGCTGATGTTTGCACGCACAGCCCAGCACCTTTTCTGGCCCCACTGAACAAGTTCTTGTCTTTATCACATGCTGTTACATTAATCAGCCTTCCCTCCTCCCACCATGGGCTCCTAGAACATAATTTCAGCTCCTATAACTAAGGCCCAAATTTATCATGCCTTAAGCAAATCTAAATTCATTTTCTCCTGTAATCAGTCCAGGGTAGGAAGCCAAGGCTGATAGGATAGTCCCTACCCCATGAAGCTGTCCAAGAACCAACTGGGTCAAGACTACCAGGCCTGTGGTGTTACATTCATCAGCATGTCTAAGAAGGCTTGCTGTTATGTCTGAATTCTAGCTACAGAAAATGAAGGACACTTTCTGAAACCTAACTGTCAACCACAGCAGGCTGCAGATGGGATCTGAACAATATTTAACTAAAAATCAGGGCTTCTCCTTCTACAAAAGAGCAGGAACATTGCTGAGTCACTCCCTCCCACACCATCCATGCCAAGACACACATAAGAGGAGAAGAAAATGATCCAAGCATGCCTGTAAATCCCAGCACTCAGGACACCGAGGCAAGAGGATTGCCATGAGTACCAGGCCATTCTGGGTTACAGACTGACACTTGGTCTAAAAAAAAAAAAAAAAAAAAAAAAGAAGAAGAAGAAAGAAAAAAGAAAAAGAAAAAGAAAAAAAATTAGCTACAAAAAAATGTCTTCCCACACCCACTCTATTGTATTCAAGATTACCACATGAATGAATCCTTACCACCAAACACGGTGCAGAGGACAGGCAGGCAGGAAAAAAAAGCATGCCCAGTTGGTATTTCTGAAACTGAGATACTAGTGCCTGAATTTTACTTAAAATAAAAAATCACTGGGTTTGAAGAAAACACTAAAAGATATTTGGGAAAAGCCTGTCTGCCCTTGGTTAAAATGTCCCTTTTTTGTTTTGTTCTAGAAGGTAAAGCTGATTCCACTTTTGAGTCCCCTGATTCAATGGGCTCCATAACCATGACCCATTGTGCCAGTCACTTGCATGGCACGGGAACTGGGCATCTGTGTGGCTTTCCTACCCCTCCTCAATGTGTGATCCCTCGGAGGAGTCAGGGACAGGCCTATCATTCCTCCCTCCAACCCTCCCTCTACCCCTAAGTCTGTCTACACCCATGTCTCAGGGAGTCTTTTCAGGCAGCACCAGAAAAATTTAAACAAATCCTGTCTTCATTGCATTCTGAAATTGTTTCTCTCTCTCTCTCTCTCTCTCTCTCTCTCTCTCTCTCTCTCTCTCTCTCTCTCTCTCTCTCTCTCTCTCGTGTGTGTGTGTGTGTGTGTGTGTGTGTGTATGTGTGTGTGTCCATCTCTCCCCCTACCCAATGTCCCATTACCACTATCCATAAAACAAATAAGCACCTGAGTAGATATACGTGAACAGATACAAATTCTTCATATCCAGGAAAACAAAAGAAGAGCTTAAACTGAAACCAGACATGATAATAAAGGACTGGGTTTCTTAGATTAAAATGAAAATGCACTGAAAGAACACTGGACCTTGTCAATGGCCTCTAAACACTCAGATCCTTCTTTCAAAGCTTCCTAACTGTTAATTTTTAAAAAATCAACTTTTAATATACCTATGGGTGGATGGATTGATGAATGGGTGGAGAGACAAATCTACTTTTCCATCCTATCCAAACACATTTGTTCTCTGGCTTATTCAACTATCTACAGAGATTTTTAGCAATGTTTAACTGCAGTTGTGAAGTACTTCAGGCACACTGTCAAGGTTAAATATTCCCCAGGTCAGTACATTAGTAAGAATGAGGTCACTTGTTGGACTGTAACATTTGTGTCAGCTGAGGGCTGCCTGTGTGGTCTAAAGCGAGCTCAAGAATTTAACATTATAGGGAGGGAAGGAAAAAAACAGGTTTCTCAACTGCACAGATCACCTAGCAGGATTCAGCATCTCCATAATGTTTTGCATAAAGACGAGAATATACAGATGTGAATCTCATACAGCCCTGTTACTATGGCTTCCAGAAAGTAAGCCAGCTCCTCAATGTGCTGCTGTAGCTCTAGCTTGGGAAGGTGGTAGGGATCCAAAGGAGAATGTAAAGGGTGTGGGTACCAGAGTAGGAAGTCATGTTCCCCCTCACCCAACCTGTTCTGATTGCTCTAAGAAAATGTTCCCATTTACCTTTCAATCCAATTAACCCAGAAA